CCAACGGCGACGACACGCTGAGCATCACGGCCGACTGCTACTCCGTCGCAGCGGCGGACGCGGCCCTCGCGGCTGCGCTGCTGGCCTACTACACCTCCTCACAAGTGGACGCGCTGTTGGGAGACTACCGCACAGGGGCAGCGCAGGACGCAGAGACGACCGGGGCCATCACAGCCGCGCTGCTGGCTTACTACACCTCCTCACAAGTGGACGCCCTGTTGGGAGACTACCGCACGGCGAGCGCGCAGGACACGCAGACGCAGGCCGCCATCACGGGCGCGCTGCTGGCCTACCGGACGGGCCCGGACCAGGACGTGTTCGCAACCAACCAAATCACCTCGGCGCTGGTGGCGTACCGCTCAGCCGCCGACCAGGACACGGCAACGGCCTCGAGCATCGCAGCCGCGCTGCTCAGCTACTACGCCGTCGCACAAGTGGACGGTCTCCTTGCGGGCAAGCTCGGAGTCACGGAGGCGGCTTCGGCCCTGCAAATAGCAGTGCGCTTTCCGGACGACGGAGGGGCCGACGAGGTGGTGGCCGCCATAGGAGAGCAGATCCTGGCCCCCACGGACGTCTCACTGTCAAACTGGACGGTCCGCCCCAGCAGCGGCTGCAGCGTGGTCCTGGCCACGCACACCGCTGGCGCAGCGAGCGTGGACGGCTACCCTGGCTGCGAACCCGTGGAACATCGTGCGCACCTACAACTTGGCCCCCGGCCGAGAGCTCCTCTTCGCCTGCCGGTACCGGCTCGGCACAGCCTCCAACTTCGTGGCGCACATGTCCGAGGCCGACAACGTCTACGACCCCCTGTACGGCAGCTTCGTGGGTGACCAGGGCGCCTGGAGCACGGCCAAGATGTACTTCACAGTGCCTCCGAGCGGAGTTGCAAAGCTGCACTTCGGGGCGCACTTCCAGGCGCCGGGCCTGCCCAACCAGACGGCAGGAACGGTGGACGTCTACGGCCTCCAGATCCTGGACGCAACCCTGGAGGCCGGCAACACAGCGGAGGAGGAGGACACGGCGGCCTCGGCCCTGCTGCTGAAGCACGAGTTCCTCGACGGAGGGGCCGACGACGTCACGCTGGCCTCCCTGGGCGAGGTGCTGCTGGAACCCACGCTCACCACGCTAGGAAATTTTTTGGTGCGCTCCAACAGCCAGAGCTCCGTGGCCTCGGCCAGCTTCACTGTGGGAGGCTTCCAGCTGGAGGGCTACGCCATGACCCTGAGCGCCTTCGCCTGGAACATCGTGCGCACCTACACGCTGACGCCGGGGAGACGCGACTCCTTCGGCTGCCGGTACCGGCTGGGCACGGCCTCCAACTTGGTGATGTACGTCAGCGCGGCCGACAACGACTACGTGGGCGTCACCGGCACCTTCCTCGGCACGGCCTACGGGGGCGGAGTCGCCACTTCGGAGCCTTCGGAGGCTCGATCCCGGGCTGTGCATGCAGTTCGGCGGGCACGCTGGGACCTTTGTACTGCATGGCAGATTTCAGGCCCTGCTGGCGGACTCGCTGGCCCTCACTGGCTCGGCCACGCTGGACGGGCTCACCGCGCAGGGCAACGTGGGCTGCGACCAGCTGCTGTGCAACGACGTGAACTGCACGGACGTGTTCACCACGGGCGTGGATGCCTCGGGCGCAGTCTCCTGCGCAGCGCTCACAGCCACAGGCACCGTCGCCGGAGCCACGCTGTCGTCCACAGGGGCCGTGTCAGGCAGCTCGCTGAGCATCAGCGGGGCGGCCAGCGTGGGCCTGCTGAGCTCGGCCACCGGAATCACCGGCAGCACTCTCACCATCAACAACACGGCCAACGCCGGGAACTTCACCACGGTGGGCGACGTGTCCACGGGCACGCTGACGGCCTCCGGCGCAGCGACGGCGGCGAGCTTCGCAGCCACCCATCCGCTCACGAGCGCCACGCTGACCATCACCGGGGCGGCCTCCACGGGCCCGCTGGACTGCGAGAGCCTGGACTGCACCTTCACGGCCACGAGCGGCGGAGTGTCGACGGGCAGCGTGGTGGGCGGCGACGTGACGAGCTCGGGCACGGTCTCCGCGCCGCAGCTCTTCGCGTCCAACACGCTCACCGTGACCAACACCTCCGACTTCTCGGACGATCTCTTCTTGACGAAGAACTGGGCGGGCTGGAGCAAGCTGCTAGTGTCCAACAACAGCGCGGCCCCCGACAGCGGCCCGGAGCTGCGGCTGCTGGGCAACCAGAGCGCCAGGGTCTTCCTGGTGCGGGACGGCGGGGCGCACCAGTGCGAGCTCATCATGATCAACGACGAGGCGCTGGTGCAGACCAAGAGCCTCTCCACGCAGCTGTCCCTGACCACGAACCAGAGGAACCCCGGCTGCCTGGTGATCGCGGGCAACACGGGCAACGTGGTCTGCAACACGAGCTTCACGGACTTGTCGGACAGCCGGGTGAAGACGGAGATTGCCGAGGCCGACGTGGCAGAGCTCAAGCAGCTCTTTGACTCCGTGGAGGCCAAGCAGTACAAACGCCCGGACATGAACGGCGACCTGAGGCTGGGCTTCGCCTCGGACGACTTCGCAGGAACAAAGTGGAAGAATTTGACGGGGACCACGCGGTGGAGCGACGGCACGGAGATGGTCACGCTTGACTACTCGCACCTGACCAGCGTGCTCTGGGGGGTGTGCAAGGGCTTCCAGGCCCGGCTGGACGCACTTGAAGCCTGGCAGGCCCAGCGGGGGCCGAAGAACAAGTAAAATATGGAGGCGCTGAGGGACCTGGCCGACGACTTCAACGTGCGGGACCCGCGGAAGCTGTACCGACTCGCGAGGCAGCGCGACCTCGACGTGACGCAGGCCATGGCCTTCGAGGTGCTGAAGGCCGACGTGGGCCGGCAGGTGCAGGCGCCCCGGCCGCGTGCGCTGGGCAAGTCGGCCGCCGAGGGGCCGAACGACCGGCTGCAGGCCGACCTCATCGACTTCAGCCAGAACACTCGGGGGAAGACCAGGTACGGCCTGGTGGTCATGGACGTCTTCACCCGGGAGGCTGCCGTGGAACCTCTGCAGAACAAGAACGCAGAGACGGTCGGCCGGGCCACCAAGCGTGCCACGCAGGAGCTGACGGGGGACGACAAGAACTTCGTGGTCACGACCGACCTGGGCAACGCGCCACGCTGGACCGGGAGCTGCCCGCGGAAGCCGTGCACCGCGCGAAGCGCCCAGAGGACCGCAACGCCACGGCCGTGGTGGACCGGGGCATCCAGACGCTGAAGAAGGACCTGGCCACGCGCGTGGCCCGCAAGGGCGGCCAGTGGAGCGACCACTTTGAGCAGACTGCTTCGGCCTACAACGCGCGGCCCCACGAGACGGTGCACGGCGCCCGGAAGACGTGGAGAAGCAGCCGGCCACAGAGTTCAGGGTCCTCCAAGACAACGCCGACAGGTTCCAGCACAACAAGGACTTGACGAACCGCCGCATCAAGGCAGTGGAGGACGCGGGAGCTTTCCGAGCACCGACGAACGCGGCGAGGAGCTTCAACCCTCAGTACGGCGACGTGCAGCAGCTGCGGGTCGTGGACTCCATGACCGTCCACAGCACGGAGGGCCGGGAGACCCTGCTGAAGCTGGCGCTGCCAGCGCCCCAGGGCAGCAGCAACGCGGTGGGCCGACTGACGAGGCGGGGCAGGCCGGTTGCTGTGAGGCAGCTGGACGACTTCCTGGGGGCTCCGGGGCACAGGACCCTTGACTGACAGCTGGAACCGATTGAGCCAAAAAAGCCGTCGCATCTTGCCAGTACCGCAAAGCACGCGTTAACAAGAAGCGCATGGTGCAAAAACGGCCTGAATTCGTGGCGCAAAAACGGCCTACACGTTTAGAACAAGAAGTGCGTGGGGGAAGGGGTTGGCGGAAAACTCGCACCTGCCCATTGGTGGACATCTCTCTCTTCGGCCGGCGGCCCGGACACCCTCGGGTGGCTCTCGTACGGCTGCCTTTACGGCCGATAATCCTTTCCAGCTGGCAACTTTGCAGTACTTTTGAGCCAAACCGCGCTTTAGGTGAGCACCCCAAAAACAAGAACAGCCGCAGTGCGGTTGGGGGGAAAGAATCGCGTCCCGTAACTTATTGGGGGGGTGTCGTGGAGAGGTCAGAAGGCTTCTCAAAGCGCAAAACACCTCAAAAACTCATCCCGGCTCAACAATGCGGGCACCTTTGTCGCTGCGCGGCGGTGCCTGTACTGTGAACGCCACCCGCGTCAGGCTTCAACTGAAGAAACGGCCTGCCGCAGATCATGCAAACACACTGCCAGGACATGGAATCGACGCGCCTTCTGCTCAGTTTTCTGCGGGATCCCGATCACCTTCCACGCCTGGTAAGACGCCTTCAGCCCATTCACATGAATGGAGATTCCGCATCTCCAGCAAGCGATGCACCTCCCGACCTTTGCCAAAGCATTCAAGCATATCGAGTATGTCGCCGAGCTGTGGGTAAGGGCGCTCCGGCTGTTCGGGACCGCCTTCCGCCAAGAAGATCAGAATGTCACGAGGGCAAGACTCTACGAGCTCGTAGAGGCACTTCAGGGTAAAGTCACAAACAAGGTCGTAGCGAGCGGGGTTGCCATTCATGATCATACGTGCTTCATCCAGCTTTTCCACGGCAAAACAAATGTCCGATTGCTCCTGCAAACACTGCTCAAACGCCGTGTCAACGGAGAGCTCCCCAAAGAGGTCGCTACATTGACCTGGGAAAGTCTCACCACATCTACATCATCCAACCACCTCCCGATTTCCCTCCACAGGCTCGCAGGCACGCCTCTGGAGGCTCCACCTTGGCCGCGCACAAAAAGCACATCGATGCCCCAAGTACCTTAAGCGCCCTAAGTGCTCTAAGTGCCCTAAGTGCCCCCAATGCTTCGAGGCCCCGGCTTCGTGGCTCTAGCGCTGAATCGGTCTCAGCGATACTGTTCAGCCAAGCAGGTCCTAGACCACTCCAGTGCTTCGAAAAATGATCGAGGCGCCTGGTCTGTACCGGGTCATTGGATGCCAAGTAAAAGTTTCAATTCGGCTCACAATCCTTGGCATCGTTCTGCTCAAAGAACGCCCGTGTGGCCACCGCCACCTGGTATGGGCGGGGCCTGACAACGGTGTCGCTGCCCCCGGGGAAGATCCGGGCGATCTTCATCAGCAACCACATCAGGCCAGGAGCGCGGCCCACCAGGACGTTGTGCTCAGTCGGGGGCCGGGTAAAGCGCATGGGCCATGGCACAATGCTCAATCGCCTTTCAACTCCTCCGTCTAGGTCCGTGAAGGAGATGGACTTGTTGGTCGAGAGGATCATCCCGAATTGCACCTGCGCATGATGCCATTGAGGAAGAACTGTGAAAACGGAAAATGCAAAAAAAACGACATGAAACAACAGCAGCAACCCTCGCCTGAAACTCCACAATGTCACTGAAAAGGTTGCGCGCTTGCACGCGCGTGCACTGCTCGCAGAACTGCTTGAAGACGGAGCTATGCACGGCCGCGGCCCGCTCCATCTCCGAGAACGTCACCAGCCGCGTGCCCTGCAGCCGCATGCGAGCAGGACTCGCACTCTCCAGGCCCTTGGCCGGGCAGCTCAGGGGGAGATGCTGTAGGTGCCGAACAGGGCCACCACGTCTTGCCGTTGCCCCCCTCCCCCACCCAGCAGTGGGCTTCCTCCAACCACTCGCGAGCAAAGAGCCTGTAGGCGCCAACCTTGAGATGGTAGAGGGCCGTCTCCCAGCAGTCAGTACAGCTACGGAGCGTCTCAAGGGCCCCCATGGCCGGATGCTTGACCCCGGCATTGAGCCGCTCCTGCAGCTCCACCGGCAAGGTGCTGTCCTCGAGGTAGTCGGTCATGCCGGCCTCAAAGTCCCGCACGGCCTGCAAGCTCGTCACAAGGTCGTCCAGCTCGGAATCCAGCTGCTCAAAGAGCCCCTCATTGTAGTCGATGTTCAGGTGCATCGAGATCAGAAGCTCCCTCCTCCCTGTGGTGACGCTGTAGTCGTCACGGTCCATCACCTTCCCGTTGCGGAACATCACGAAGCGGCGGTAGGCCTCCCCGTTCAATTTCCGCATGAAGACCGCGTCGTACAGCTTGCCCTGCAGGGCGCTCTTTGCAATCACCCGCATGGCCGCGGTGCGATGCGCCACTGCCGGAGGCATGCCCTTCCATTTGGGCGGCCTCCCTGTCCTCCACCAAGCGCCTCAAACAAGGTGAATTTGGGTGGCAATTGAGGAGGATTTGCGCTGAGCTGTTGCACTGGTCTATGTTGGCCAGAGGGAGACCGCTGCGAATCAGGCTTCGCTCCAAGTTGGGCAGTGTGAAGGCAGCGCGAGATGCTGCGTAGCTCTGCATGCCGGCACTGGCGGGAGGAAGTGGTAGTTGCCCACAATCTCACTAAAGGACTTGCCTTTCCCCCCAGGCGTCATCGCACTCTTCTGCTCCTCGGACACCTCCTTCTTCAGAAGCTCGTCGTATAGGTGCTGGTGGAAGCCATCTGTTTCCTGCAGATGGTCAAGGTGGCAGCTAGGGGGCCTCATCCGAGTTCGGCTTCCCCCCCCGGGAGAGCTCGCCAACATAGCCAGACATGGCTTGAAATGTCATGGTGAGATCCGAACTGTGCCAAATGGTCTGCAACCACACACTGCACTGCGAGATGCACCCAAGACAAGACTCCAAGACCAAGACATAGAAATCGACACTCTGAGAAGCCCACAACCACCGGAAGGAGCTGGTCCGTGACATCCATCACCTGGACGCAGTAGGCACCAAGTGCCCTGCAAGCCCTAAGTGCCCTGGGTGCCCTGCCTAAGTGCCCTGGGTGCCCTAAGTGCCCTGGGTGCCCTGGGTGCCCTGGGTGCCCTGGGTGCCCTAAGTGCCCTGGGGGTGCCCTAAGTGCCCTGGTGCCCTGGTGCCCTGGGTGCCCTGCATGCCCTAAGTGCCCTGAGTGCCCTGGGTGCCCTAAGTGCCCTGGTGCCCTAAGGTGCCCTGGGTGCCCTGGGTGCCCTGGGTGCCCTGAGTGCCCTGGGTGCCCAGAATGCACCATCAACGTCGCACGCAAATTCCAAACTCCGACCAAACACACCCATAAACTTCTAAGATCAGCGCCAATCGAGAACGCCGAAAGTGTAGAGGTACCTGCAAGGAAGGAATCACAATCGGACGAAAACAAAGAAAAAACACAAACCGAGGAGCACTGGCAGCACTGGCAGAGGTCGTGCTTAACAAACCTCAAGCGAAACGTCTGGGCGGGGGGGCACAGAGACTCGCTGACCCAGGGCACTTAGGGCACTTAGGGCACCCAGGGCACTTAGGGCACTTGGGGCACTTGGGGCACTTGGGTGGGGGGGCTTGGGGGGCAGGTGGGGGGGCCAGGCAGGACAGGGCAATTGGTGTGATACATACACACACATACACATACATACACAACATAATAGATATGTTAAGACCTTCCATAATATGATTGCAACCAATTGTGTATCCACTCTAATTTATTCTCTGTTTTTTTTATTTATTTAACATACTAAAAAATATTATGTAAAATAAAACAAAATAATAAATAACCACCTATACCAACAATAAGCGAATATGATCATATGGGAAAGAGGGGGGGGTGCACATAGGCCCCCTGCAACCAACACAGACACCCTGCCCCCCTCACCCACCTCTTCACATACCCTAAGTACCCTAAGTGCCCTAAGTGCCCTAAGTGCCCTGAGTACCCTGAGTGTCTCGAAGCAGACGGCGCACACAAGCAGAAGCTCTGAGGATCCTGGCCGGCCGATCGATGATGCCAAGCTGACACGAGTGGACACAAGGTTTTGCGTTTGAGGCTTAGGGCACTTAGGGCACTTAGGGCACTTAGGGCACCCAGGGCTCACGGAGAGGGGGGGTCGGTGGTCCTGAAGGCAGGTCATTTGACTTCACTGGGATTGGGTGCACAACGTGGCCTGATCCACAGGGTCGATGGTCGGCAGACGGGGTTGGAGAAGCACCACAAAACGTGGCCTGATGGGGTTGGAGAAGCACCGCAAAACGTGGCCTGATCCACAGGGTCGATGGTCGGCAGACCTGAAGGCAAGGGTGGACGGGGTTGGAGAAGTCGGCAGACCTGAAGGCAAGGGTGGACGGGGTTGGAGAAGCACCGCAAAACGTGGCCTGATCCACAGGGTCGATGGTCGGCAGACCTGAAGGCAAGCGTGGACGGGGTTGGAGGAGCACCGCAAAACGTGGGCCAGACCAAGGGAGCACGAATACTCTGAGGGCGACACTTTGCAGCGTTGACGTTGCACCTGATAAGGATGACGCCTGGCGAGCACATGAAAAAAAAACACAGGTTGTTGCAGTTCGCGTTGGCCTCACCACGTAAAATTGGCGAGTCGGGCCCAACCTGAAACACTACTCGAAGGCAACCAACCCACACAGCACCCCACAAGAGGCAACTTCAACATTGACAGCACGAAGAGTAAGGCCCTGGCAAAGTGCGAAACGAGCACCGCCCCCCCAGATCCAGAAAAAAGGCTGCAGCAAAGCCGAGTCTTTCTCGCCTTCACAAGGCCCCGTGCGCATGGTCTGTAAACACGACCGACCACGTGAAAAACGTGACGCAACACCGTCAACCCGTCACGCAAAATCATGTGCAAAAAACATGTAAAATATAATTTCCGGAAGAGCGGACAAAAACACGTTTTTTCCGGAAATGGCTCTCGAGCCGCTTGAGCTGGGGCCGACACTTGGTCGGACCACTATTTTTCTCGCCCTATAAGAAAAGAGACCGGCAACCTAGTCAAGATGACTACCATCGCCAGCAACATCACGGTCAGCGAGGTGCAGACCTCCGCAAAGGGGGGCAAAACGGCACCCTTGAGGTGTGAGGGGAGGCCTATAGTCTGGCGGTCCGAGTGGACACATATCCTGTGGGAGCCCAGCAGCTTTGGTGAGGTGCGCGGTGTCAGTGTGGAGTGGCATCCCCGGCTACTGTATGCCCGTGGCAAAGAGGTCGCCCTCGGCCTTGCGCCGGAATCGCTTCAGGCTATTGACCTACTTGTCGACACCCTGCTTGCAACCTTCCCTCAGCCGGGCATCCCAAGCCCCCAAGCTCCTTCTCATCACGCGGAGGGCGCTCCGGAAAATTGGCCCACCGTGCTGCAGGATGTGCTACTCTTGCAACTCCTCATGGCACGGATGCCAGTTGAGGTGCGGCCGCCAAGGACAAGGCCAAGGCCACGAGGCCATCGATGAGCGCTTTGACAGGTGTCTAGAGAAATTGCGGGTCATGGATGCTGACGCTAGGGCGCAGCTCCTACCACTGATCACCCCTGCCAAAGTAAGTGAGCTTAGGCGCTTGCGGCCCACCCTGTTTCATCAGTTTCTGGAGTGCACAAACACTGTCAAGGCCACGGGCGTCATCGGCAAGGACACTCGGTTCCTGTACTTTGGGGCTGAGGCTGAGGCCAGGTTCAACGTGTCCTTGACGCGTGCCAAAGCGATCACTGTGGTAGTGGCCCCGCCCAGCTCCACCGGTCCCCTAGGCATGCTCCAGACCGCCTCGGCGCGACTGTTTGGCCGGTCTCCATGTCTGACTTGCAGCGGTCTACGGACGACTCCGCCCGCATGCTGCTTGGCCTTGGCTCCGGCTTTGAGGACCTTAATGAGCCGCCTGGCACTTTCCATGTGCAGGGGTGATGTGAGCGACCATTCGATGTATGTCCTTCGTTTGGCTGGTCTGTCCCCCAGAACCGGTCGCGATCTCACGGTTTTCTGTTACCAAGAGGTCGGCGGGGATTCTGTGCTTTCCTTCAAGTCTGATCAGGGCCGGCTGTTGCTTCACGGTCAGCCTTCCCGGCGGGCGCTGCCTGGAGCACGCCTGATCCTGTCGAGTGCGGAGATGCTTCTCTGGTGCCTGTGTCTGGTATGGTCTTTTTCGGGGCGGCCACCTCGCTTGCCCACAGCGAGGATCTTCGTGAGGGCACCCCGTGGCCTGCCATCCCTGGCCTTGCTCGCAGTCCGGAATGCACGAGTGTGCGGCTTGTGGAGGCGACGCCCAGGGCGCGCCCTGTGGCCGACATGCAGACCGCTGATCCGTCGCCCAAGCGGCCACGCGGCCAGCCTCCGGTGCCACCCCCCAGCAGGCGTGCGGGCGGCGAGTGGATGCCCCGTCTTCCCTCGTCGTCCCACCCAAAATCTGAGTGGCCTCGCGTGGATGCGCCGGCCGGCCCTGTCGCCGGTTCGTATCAGTCTGAGTGGCCGTCAATCGAGCAAGGAAGGCACTCTGACACCCGTAGCAACAAGCCAGTCATTTCTGTGGATGACATTGACGATCTGCCGCCTACGTGGCTTTCACAGCGGCCTGATGTGTCGGGCCTCAGTAGTCGCGTGAGTAAGTACCTGAGTTTCGTTGCTAGACATGATGCTAGGACCCCTGCTACCGCTGATGGGTTTATCATGCTTAGGGATGTGTGCCGTCGGGCTCCGGTTGTTCGCGCGCTTAAGGATCTGGGGTGCCTGCAAGTGCAGAGGTGGTAGCATCCATTGCCACGCACCTAAGTGAGACCAGCAAAGTGCGGTTTGAGCTCAAGTTTTCGCCCACCCGGGGATTGTGCCTTCGGTCCATTGCGGGGCACAGCACTGTCCTTGACCCTTGCCGCAACCTGCCGTTGCTCCGGCATGACGAAGCCCGGCGCATCGTCACGGCTATGCACTGCGCAACCTGGGACAACCTGGATGGCATCCTTGCAACGGGCATCCTCCCGGGTAACCTTGTGGGAGGGGCCCGCACGCATATCCACCTCACCACTTTCTGCATGGGCACTCGTGGCTTTGCAGAGGCGCGAGGCAAACGTGACGTCGCTGTGGCCGTAGACCTCATCAAATGTCTGCAGCGGGGCGTTCAGCTCTTTGTGGCTGGCGGGGAAACTCTCCTCACTAGTGGGGCCTCTTTCTCTAGTCCCGCTGGCCTCCAAGTGGTAGGCATTCACCCGGCATGCATCTCGGCAGTGTATGATGCGGCTACGACCAAAGACATCACTGATGAAGTCACGCGTGGGAAGCCGCTGTGGAGCAACACGCCTGTTCATGTCTCCGCATCTGACACCGAGCCCACGTCAGTTGCCCCGCAGGACCTGCACTCTGCTGCTGAATTGCAGGAAGCGTTGGTGTTTCTGACCAGCCAAGTCGAGGCTTCCCAGGCA